TTCAACTAGAAAAATTTACAATTTTTTTCCTAAAAAATCTGATAAATTTAAGAAATGTAAAACAAAATATAAACTACTATAAATTCAGTAGTGCTTTTAAAATATTAAAATTGTGTTAACAAAAGACCTACATATATTTGAAAAAACAGTAGCACATATATATGAGACATATATATTTCCTCTGTAGGGAATACTTGGTGCAAATGTGGATCTAGCACCTAGCCTCCACCCAAAGGTCTCCAGTAGGCAGGTCTCTAATTAAATTGTGCCTATTTTTGTTTCTTTCATGTATTCCACAAATGGGGTATACAGAGGGGAAAACTGCACAAGGTTGAGTAAGGGCATGAGAACAAAAATGATTTTAGTTCACACTCTACCATCTAGTTGGCCTCCAAGAAATTGTCAGGTTAGCTCTTGAAGGAGATTGTTGTACTTATTGTTAAAGAGATTCTTTTTAAGGAGTGAAGTGGAAAAAGTCCAGAGAGATAGAGAAGACTGTCATAGAAGACTGGACAAGGTGTCCGGAAAGGAAGACAGCAATCAGAGACCAAGTCTTCAGGGGAATGTGAGGAAGGTGACTAAAGATTGCTTTTGTGATTATAAGTAATTATGTTACAAATCCAGTCTAGCTCCAGTTGCAGACGAAAAGGGGTAAAGAAAGGTAGTAAGAATCTAATTGTTTAATATGATCTGAGTGATGAGATAAAATCAAAGTTTTAGAAGTGAACTATTGAGATATCAGACATAAAAAGCAGATCTTAACACGAATACCCCATCAGCCACGAAACCCAACAAAGCACATGTGAGGATCTGCTCCATCTGCAGAGGGATGCCATCAAACAGCTAAGCATTCAGAGTAAACCTTGGGAACAGATCTAAGACACATTCCACTTTAGCCTTAGGAAGTTAAGAAGACTGCTAGATTTTATATTGCATTATAAATAATGATTCAATAAATAGCTATGGAGTACTTTCAAAGAGCTATATGCTATAAATATATAGCTCACCCATTCAGTCATTACATAACTATTTATTTAGTATTCACTGCGTGCCATACACTGTTAGGAACAGGTTTTCTAGGAAAGAAAGGCATGCTGTGAAAGAAAGGCAGAACTATGAAAGGAAAGGAAAGAATATGATAAAGGTAAGCCCGATATCAAAGGAAGATTTTAAATTTTTCATTGGAGATTCGAGACCCTTTGAAAGATTAGGACAAAGGAACTGAAGGTGGGGTTAGGGTAGTAGAATAGTGAGTAACCAATGGAGCAAAGCCCAAAGGAATTGCTAAGGGTGGAAAGTGTAAAACATTAAGACGAATTTGTCTTTTAAAGAATTTCTAAGCTCATAAAGGAAATAACATATATAAAACTTTTAGAAACATAAAAAGTGAGAAACATTTTAACACAATAACTAGAATATATAGAACTCAAAGTTAGGATGAGTAACAAAAATGAGGTTTAGAAGACTTCACTTGATCTTCTGAGTACAGTAAAAATATTAGCCAGAATTCTAGAAGAAAGTGTAGCGCTGTTTGACTTCAATCTACTGTGAATAAGAAACCCTCTGGATGATACAAGGAAACTTTCCATTGTTTGGACTGAGCATCAGACTAAGAGCTCTGCATCTCCAAGCCTTATAACTCCTCAGGTCAAAGTGTTAAATCTTTGTCAAGGTCTAAAATCCAACCAGAGTAAAAATCCTAGGTTAAAACATTTAGACAAGCATGGGTTATTAAACATTTTGAAGTTGAATTTAATTCACATAAACATAAGAGCAAAGGATGAAATGAGAAGTATTGATAAGAGAGCTAGAGTTTTTTTTTTTAATAAATTAGCTGTGATCTTTAAGTAACAGGATATGGTGAGAGTCAGAAAGAAAGAAAATAACATCCATAAGTCAGCTTCTTTGGGAAAAAACAAAAACAAAAACAAAAAACAAAGAAGGACTCTCTGAAAGACCCAAGAAGTCAATGTCTGCATTGAAATCTGTTAAGGACAGAATAAGCCCAGTGCTGCTCAGATATAATATACCCCTGATTTTAAATTGAAACCCGTGCTGTTCTATTATTCTAAAACCTTCAGGATATTCAAGGACCTTGTCAAGGACATTAACTTGGAAACAGAAACCCAGACCTTTCATTGCTAAATGCTTGGTGAAGGCTGGTATGCAAAATATCTTTCTCTGTGTTTGGGTTTTATTCTTCAGGCAGTGGGAATGTGACATGATCAAAACAGCTTAATAGAAAAGTTAAGTACAACAGTGATCTATGGAATGAATGAAGGAAAGAGATGGGAAAACGAGGGCATAAAAAGTCGTTAAAATCCAGTTACAGTAAGTTAGGAAATAAAGATCTGTGGTGGAAGATGAACTGGGGCAAACAGGGAGGATGTTGATCTCAGTACACACTTGGATTTGAAAATCAGTGACAAAGGAGACACTAGAGAAGACAAACAGTATAACTTAATATAGGTTGAACAACTTAGAAAATTTTGTTTTGGAAAGGTTAAAGAAGGATAGAAGATAGATGTGGTTAGATTTTATATAAGGGCACCAAGAAGATATTCAGGTAGAAATACAGATCGCTAGGCTGGGATTCAAAGGATGAATGAACCATCTAAATGGTTCTCAGTTAGGGTTAATTTTGCCCCCCAAATGACATTTAGCAATGTCTGGAGACATTTTTGATTGTCACAACTAGGAAGATATTGCTATTGGAATCTATAGATCAGTGATGCTGTTAAAATATTCACAATGTGTAGAACAGCCTCCTACCACAAAGATTATGTGGCACCAAATGTTGATAGTGTCAATATTAGGAAACTCTGTTCATAAATGCCATAGTATATTAGGGATATCTTGTCCAATCAGTGTATATAGTATATTTATGTTTAATGTAAATTTAATTCATAGAAAATAAAAATAGTATCAAACATCTATTAAGTCTTACTCTATTTCACCCCTTATCCTCACATTACATGGTGTATTTTATCCTTTGAATGCTGTAAGGCATATATCGCCTTTATCCTCATTTACAGCTTAGGAAACAATCCACTGAAAAGTTAAGATACCTGCCAAAAGAGACATAGCTAGCAAATTTGGGGGCCCAGATTGCAATCAAAAAGTCCATTTTCAGTACCATGATTCTAACCACTAAGTTGCAACATATAGTGATTATAGGTATAGTATCCTCATGGTGGACAAGAGAGAATTATATAGAGCAAAACATTATACTCCCTTCATCTTTCTCCCCAAGCCAAACCAAACCAAACCAAACCAAATCAGACAAAACAAAAGCAAATATTAATAGCAATGTCTTTTTGAGTCACTGAGTATTCCATTATGTCGTTGATATATTTGATATACTGAGCATTTTGTCCTGGAAGAGGGCCTCAGAAGGGGAGGAAACCTTGAGCTCTTATCCAAAGCAGTGGTTTTGACAATCTTAGCATTTTGACATATGATATATCCAGATGTATTGTATCTAATTTGTGAGTACTAAAAAAGAGCCAAACTTTCCTAATATAATTTTTACTATGTAAATTAGAACTGAGTAAAAATTAGTACTGTAATAATATCATATTTTCTTACTTTCCACTATGCTTTCTTGAGTGCTAAAGAAAGATACAAAATTAAAGCTAATGACATTGAAGATGGTACTGGATGTTCACATGTAAATGTCACTGTGCTTCAGAACACTAAAATGTATTTGTTGAAAATTACCAATTTAATAGTTAGAATGAAGTCAACAAAAAAAGCATTTAATTCCTCAAGTTTGACTTTTAAACCATCCTCTTTAAATATAAATTATATAAACATTTCTCTTTTTATCAAACTAAATATACAGAGTTTTAGTATGACTTACTCTCCACTTGGTCAAGATGACAAAGGTGAAACATTTCTTTGAAGTGCAGTGGTTTCCAAATTTTTGAAACAGTGGATTTATTCCTCAAATGAATATTAAGACATAAAAATATCCAGCGGCACCTGGGTGGGGCTCAATCAGTTAAGCATCTGCCTTAGGCCCAGGTCATGACCCCAGCTTCCTAGGATTGAGCCCCAAGTCCAAGCCAGGCTCCCAGCTCATTGGGAAGCCTGCTTCTCCCTCTCTTTTTGCTGCTCCCCTGCTTGTGGGATCACTCTCTCGTGCTCGCTCTGTAAAATAAATAAATAAAATCTTTAAAAAAAAAAAGAGAAGAAAGAAAGAAAAAGAAAGAATGAAAATCCACAATCCTTATCCACAATAAAGAAAGGTAGAAAAAGAAAGAGAGAAGTTCTGAAGCCAGAATGGGGAAGCTGGGATGAGAGGTATTTGGGGGGCCATTTAGGACAAACTGAGAAGAGGGGATCCAAAGATCTAGCCATCAACAATATTGATCTACCCATCAGGCAGCACTTTAGGCAACTTTGGAGGTTCCATAGTACATAGTTTGAAAAGGATTATCCGATATATTTCAGGGTAATTTAGATAATAAAATTATAATTATCTTAAAATCTTGTAAGTATATTAAAGTTGCAAGTCTAACTGATATTCTAATTAAATTCTACCTTAAATGTGATATTATTTAATATGTATATATGCATATTAAAATTTTATTTTACGTGTTAAACTTGCAATTTTTTTATTTGCAAGTGGTGGACAATATCCTGAGGCACTTAGTTCCTGTCTCTGTTGTGGCTTATATTCATCTCTTGACCATTTCTGTCAAAAATGCAAATGTGTTTTTTACTGTAAAAAAACTAAAGTAAATTATATTTAATAGGCTTTTAAATATAGTTCTCTGACACAACACTTAATTTAAAATGGACAATTTTACTCTTTTACTCTGTGCTTTGGGAATATTTTTGAGCAATGATGTATTTCTTTTGATTGTTCTCTTATTTTCTGATAAACAGTACTGTAATAAATTTTGATCCTGCCTTTGGTCTCGGTATTTAGTAGCTATGTATTTTTTTCTTTGATAGCAACATGCATTAATATTTATAACCATTTTCCTTTGCAGCATCTCCCAGATGGCTCTGCGCCCAGTGCACATGTTGAATTTTATCTTTTACCATATCCCAGTGAAGTTCGTAGGAGGAAAACAAAATCTGTTCCAAAATGTACCGACCCCACTTATAATGAAATTGTAAGTATGATTCATCTCTTGTCCAGTCGCTTTGTATTTTTCTTACCATTTTTCAGCTTAACAACCAAATATGGAAAATTTGCAGTAATTGGCAGCATTATTCCATAAAGGGAAGACATTTCACAAAATAGCCACTATGTGCTGATCACTGTTCTAGATACTATGGGAACTGGAAAATACAGATTCTGCTTTTAAAGCACTTATGAACCAATTTTCAAATTGTGGCTAGCTTCCAAGCAAGAGCCCAGGATGGCTTTTTGTTTTTTGTTTTTTGTTTTTTTTGGTTTTTGGGTTTTGGGTTTTGAGTTTTGGGTTTTTTTTTTTTTTTTGCCTAACATCATCCCTGACTTCATCTTATTTTCTCCAACCTTATTTTCCTTTACTTGGTCTTCCTTATCTAATAACTTTATCATAGTGTATCCTGTGTATAACATAAACTTTAAGTGACTTTTGCAAAACTCTGGGGGTCACAGGGAAAGAAAATATGGATGCTTTAGAAAGGTTGAGTTGAGGAATTTTTTTTTTTTTTAAGATTTCTGACCCGAGGATCCAGTGGGTGAGACAGCCTTGAGAAAGGCAAACAAATAATCATCTGAGCAAGGTGCAAAGGAGATGAAAGGAGATGGAATCTAGGGAATAAATGTAGGGTTTGCCTCAGAAAAATGTAGGGAATTGGATATTCAAAGTAGGTTTGTGTGACCATCACCACAGTCAAGGTATAGAACAATTCCATCACAAGGACTCCTGGTGCTACCTTATAACCACAGACATTTCCCTCCCTCTAATGCCTACCTTCCCCTTCTCCCCATCACTGGCTACTAGTAATCTGTTCTCCATCTTTATAATTTTGTCATTGCAAATGTTATATAAATGGGAATCATACAGTTTGTAACATTTCAAGATTGGCGTTTTTCACTCACCATAATTCCATAGCCATCTATCCAAGGAGCTGCATGCATCAGTAGGTTTGTTTCTTTTCACTTCTGAATAGTCGTAGTGCTATGGAAGTATAATGCTGTTCACCCATTAGAGGACATCTGGGTTATTTCTGGCTTGGGCTATTGCAAACAAAACTGTCGTGAACAGTAATGTATAATTGGTTTTTGTGTAAACATAGTTGTAATTTCTGTAAGATAAATGCTTAAGATGTAATTACTGGAATATATGGTAGTGGCATATTTAGTTTTGCAAAAAATTGCCATACTCTTTTTTATACCATTTTACGCTCCCACCAGCAATGTATTTAGTTTTCTCTGAATCTTTGCCAGCATTTGTTATTATCACTATTTTTAATTTTAGTTCTTTTGATAGGTATAGAATGATACCTCATTGTGGTTTTAATTTGCATTTATTTAATAACTAATGATGCCGAACTTTTTGTCATGTACTTATATACCATCCTTTTTGGTGAAATGTCTCTTCATGTCTTTGCTCATTTACTAATTGGATGGTTTGCATTTTTGCTGCTGAGTTTTGAAAGTTCTTTGTATGTTATAGATGGTAGCCTTTGTCGGATAATTGGTTTACAAATACTTTCTACCTGCCTATAGCTTGTCTTTTCATTCTCTTTTCAGGGTCTTTCCTGAGAAAGACCTTGAAAGAAAATTAAAAGTCTTTAATTTTCATTTTGTACAATTTATCAATTTTTCCTTTTATAGACTACAAGTCTAAGAACTCTTCACCTAGCACCAAGTCCTAAAGATTTTCTCCTGTATTTTTCTAAATGTTTTATAGTCTTGCATTTTATATTTAAGCCCATTATCCATTTTGAGTTAATTTTTGAATAATGTATGAGGTTTACGTTGGAGTTCATTTTTTCTTACTTGTGAATGCCAATTACTTCAGCACCATTTATTGGAAAAACAATGCAACAAATGTCTTCTATACCTTCATCAAAAATAAGTCAGGAATATTTGTGTGCTCCTGACCTTTTATTTCCTCATATCTAATCATGTTTTCAAGTCACATAAGACACCTTGTCATTCCCTGAATAGTCCTTCTGACCTCTGTGATGGAGCTCATTCCCTTTACCCTTTCCACTCTTCTGTGCCAACTTTGAAGCTCACCTCAAATGTGGACTCTGAACCACTCTCTCCTCCTAGACTCTTATACCACATTTAACATCTTTTACTTACTCTTACAGGCTTTTTCTTCCAGTATATTGTAAATGTCTTGAGGATGAGGAAAATACCTTATCTTCTTAGTATCTTTAATACTTAGTTGTTTCCAAATAAATTTGTGGAAATAAATATTTGCTGTAGTTTTGTGACACTTTATATGCATGTAAAAAATGTAAAACTATATATATATTTATAAGTTAATAAGGAAAGATCTTTTGATATTTTATTTGTCATGGTGTCAATAGCTAGAGATATATCCTCCCAACAGTATATCATTAGTTTTCATATCTTCTGAGTACAAGATCCCCTACATCAACATCAAGAAATTTTTCCAGACCTAATGCTATGCTTCAGCATTTCTAATCTCAGGAGGGATGTAATGACAAAAAGCCACTTAACAATTCAGGAGTTTAAATGAACTTATGTTTTATTTCAAGCTATCTGTATTATTTTAAAAAATAGTAAATATACATGCATGGAGATTATAATGCTTCTTGTTTCCATAATGCATTTCTTATAAAGACTGGTTTTACTTTCTCTCACCCTCTGTGATACAGGCCTCTCTCTGTGCCAAACCCTTTAATTATTTCAGTGCACTCTTAGCAACCATGTATATGTGTTTTTTAGGAAACCCACTAAGTTATCACATGGCATCCACATTTTTTTTAAGACTCCATTTATCTATTCATGAGAGACACACACACAGAGAGAGAGAGAGAGAGAGAGAGAGAGAGAGAGAGGCAGAGATGTAGGCAGAGGGAGAAGCAGGCTCCATGCAGGGAGCCCCACGTGGGACTCCATCCCAGGTCTCCAGGATCACACCCCGGGCTGAAGGCGGCGCTAAACTGTTGAGCCACTGGGCTGCCCAGCATCCACCTTTTTAACTTCTCCCCTGCTCTGCTTCCTGAGCACTGCTACATCAGCCTCTCAGTATGACTGGGATTTCTCAAACTGCCAAAGCTGTGCAATGTTCTGGGAAGTAGGAGAGAATGACCTCACTCTCCTTTTTATATAAATCTCTTAAAGGAATACAAAGGGCATATTACACTGCATCACCAATGTCCTACAAAGCTTTTCATGAAAATAATTCCATTTTTATTCAGAGCGCTCTCTCTCTCTCTTTTTTTTTTTTTTAAAGATGAATTTGAGGGGAATCCTCAAATTCTTTTTTTTTTTAATTTTTTTTTTAATTTTTATTTATTTATGATAGTCACAGAGAGAGAGAGAGAGGCAGAGACACAGGCAGAGGGAGAAGCAGGCTCCATGCACCGGGAGCCCGATGTGGGATTCGATCCCGGGTCTCCAGGATCGCGCCCTGGGCCAAAGGCAGGCACCAAACCGCTGCGCCACCCAGGGATCCCGCTCTCTCTCTCTCTCTCTCTCTCTCTCTCTCTCTCTCTCCCCCCCCCCCTAGTACCCAGATTGAGAAAGGCTGAGTCAGGGATACTGCCAAGGGTCCCTCTCATATCCACCCTTCAGATACTAAACTTTCTTGCTACAAGATTTAGCTTGTCTACTTGACACTTCCCAGAGTGATTCCCAACAGACTTTGTTAGCAGTCTCCCTGAAAACCTCTATCATATACAAATCCATGTTGTGGACATGACTGGGCTGAAGGTAGGGTGGAGCTGACCCTTGGAATGCTCACAGAACTGTCCTACTGCTTTTAAGAAGCAGAGCTGGGATTCTAGCTCCAATGCCATTGCTTTTTCCACTCTGTTGCCTTTGGCATCTGGTTAAAAACTATCTTTTTTTCAGTTACTCTTTAGAAATATAGATTATATTGTTATAGTCAATGTATTTTATACATTGTGTTCCTTTCTTATTGTTCTATTATAAAATATAAAGGAAAAAATTAAAAAGGACATTAGAATAGGAACATTCTATGTGTTTTACATTCCTTAAAATATCTTGCAGAATGTTCATGATTATTTAGGATAGCACTATGTATATGATATACTCAGTAAGTCATAGCCATTGTTATATGTATCATCCTCTCATTTTGATATTCATAACATGATGAAAATTATATTTGTAAAAAAAAAAAAAAAAGACATTGAGCCGTGATGTCAAACATTTCAACCAGGGTTAAGCAACTAGTTTTCTTTCTTTTTTCTTTTTTTTTTCTTTAAAAGATTTATTTATTTATTCATGATAGACATAGAGAGAGAGAGAGAGAGAGGCAGAGACACAGGCAGAGGGAGAAGCAGGCTCCATGCCAGGAGCCGGACACGGAACTTGATCCCGGGACCCGAGGATCACGCCCTGGCCTGAAGGCAGGCCCCAAACCGCTGAGCCACCCAGGGATCCCCTTTTCCTTTTTTGTTTTTAATTGGAGTTCAGTTTGCCAACATATAGCATAACACCCAGTGCTCATCCTGCCAAGTGCCCCCCTCAGCAACTAGTTTTCAAATCCAGAACTGCCAGATTCCAAAACTCATATTGACCCCACTAAGTTATGCTGCTGCCCCTCCTTCTCTTCACCCACAGAGTTCTCCCGTTCTCACTTGTTTTGAACTCTCCTTCCCATTATCCTGCCTCCTCACTCCCCTTCCCACCAGCAGTAGGCACATTCCAGTTTCCATGTTATTAGCCTTCCACTGAAGTCACTCTAAATACACTAAATACACTCTAGAATTATTTACTATACCCTCATGTCACATAGCATGCAATGAGTGCTTATATCCAAGTTAACAGATGTTAAGTACCCTAAAGTTTTTTCTGTTTGATGTAGTAATTTCAAACCTATGAGTTCAGTATTTATCAGAAGGCAATGAACTTGGTGCATGTCTATGGGTAAAAAGTATTATAAAGTGAAATTGAAAGAGCTGTGCATTTTGGTTCTATTTATGTGACAACAGAATACATATTAAAGCCTTTGGTGAAAAAGTCTCAAAGAATATAATCATTTGTGTACTTCTTTAGCATTACCCACTAATTATTCATTGCACAATAAGAAAAGAGTGCTTTTTTTCTTTTTTACTTATTTTTAGAAAATTGTTGTTTAAATTCTAGTTAACATACAATGTGGGATTAGTTTCAGGTGTACAATATAGTGAGTCAACACTTCTATACATTACTCAGTGCTCATCACAAGTAAGAGTGCTAATTTTTTTAACAATGTTATGGATGCAGTAAAGCAATTAAAATATATATCATCTATGATGTGCAATGATTACCTGTCTATAACACTTCAGTTACTTTTCATAAAATAATTTTTGCATAACAAAGCACAGGGAAAGAAATATATAAGGTAATATAACTTCTGGAGTTCAAATGTTTGTATTTTAACCAAAAGGCAATTAATTCTCAAAGTCATTTCTTGAGAATTTCAGCTTGCTAAAAACCAAAGAGATTCAATTCTGTCTGGAACTGTTTTCTCCAGACAACTAATCCAAAATACCAAGAAACAGCTGTTCTTTGTCTATTTGATGGATCTTTTTCAGCTATAATTTATTAGCGTTCAATATGTACCAGGCTTTGCAGTAAGACTTGCATTCATTATCTCGCTTATTCTTCCCCACAGTGCTAAAAGGCAAATATTATTATCACCATTATGCAAATGAGAAAACATATAGTTAACAATAGAATCATATAAATATAAATTATTATGTGTGAGAGAAATTTATATCTTTAGATCTTACTTATATGATTCACAGAGTTCTTAAACCAGACTTTCACAAAATCCTAATGCTTAGAGTTATTCCATTTTTCTCCTTCACATACAGTAACACTTTGAGGACCCCTTCATCTATTTACTCTGTAAAATAAATGAGTTTGTCTGCTGAAAGTGTTGTGTGAAGGAAAATGGAGGGTATTTTAGATAGTTCAAAATAGCCACTGTACAGAAAAGGAAAAGGAACTTACTCTGAAGTCTTGGAAAGATAAGAGTCCAGGAGGAGGGGATTCCTGGGTGGCTCAGCGGTTTAGCGCCTGCCTTCTGCCCGGGGAGTGATTCTGGAGTCACGGGATAGAGGGCTCCCTGCATGGAGCCTGCTTCTCTCTCTGCCTCTCTCTCTCTCTCTCTCTCTCTCTCTCTCTCTCTCTCTCTCTCTCTGTGTGTGTGTGTGTGTGTGTGTCTCTCATGAGTGAATAAATAAAATCTTAAAAAAAAAAAAAAGAGTCCAGGAAGAGATGTGGCTCAGAGTCCATACTGAGAATCCTGTTGCTGTTAAAGAAGATGAATTAAAGTGGTAGGGCTTTGAGATTTTTAAGGCAGCCCTTAAAATCTTCTACTATCCCAGAGGAACTCAATAAATAAAATGGAATAATTTGAATCAGTATTCCTAAGAAACTGAAAAGATCTGAAAAGATCATCTTCTGTCTGGAATGAGAGTAGGATGCTAGAAGAGTAGGTAGCCAGGAGCTGTCACATGAAGCAGGGTAGATTGCATTCACATGGCATATAGCGTCTCATGTCTCTTGATTGAATTGTTATTTACTTGATAAGTAAATCATTGTTCAGAGGAGCTATCAGACTGATTTTGAATGGAATTTCACCGATAATTTTGTGTGTTCATAAATACCAGACAGATGCAATGCAGTGGACCAGAAACCATATCCATATACACTGAGGAGCCTCCCAACTGACTCAAAGGGCTTCCCTCTCAAGTTTTTCCTCTGCTTCTTTTTTACATATATAGAGAACTCTTCTTTCTGTCTTGTAGCTTGGCTATAAAAAGCAAGCAAGTTTGTAGCCACATATGAAACTCCTTTCTAATGTGTTCTAAGTAGTTTCCCTGGCAACCATGTTGGATTTATACACAGCTCTCCCCTCCCTTCATAATGGGTAACTAATTTCTTGATAGTACTACACTTTTGAAGTTTCTTTACTACTGTAGGCACCCAGTGGTAATGCCCATGACTTAGTTCCTGGATATTATAAAACACAGTTGAACAGATCCCTTTTTAGAAACTAGTTACTTACATGCCTAGCAAGTGAAAAAGAGCAAGACCCAAAACTCTACATATAGCAAAATTACAGCTCAGATTCTTAAAAAGTAATTATATATGTAAAACAAAAAGAACACTGAAATGTTAACTATAATTATCTCCCAGGGGTGGAAATACAGATTTTCCTTTCTTTTTTTTATATTTAATAAGCATGTGTTTTTATAATTAAAAATTAAACCATTTTAAATAAAATAAGCACAGAATGAATTCTTCAGATGTAGATGGAAATATTGTTATACTGCACTAAATTAACACAAGGAAATCTACTCTCTTCATTAGTCTTCAACAAAAAGAGATAGTGTTCAAGGTCCCATGTTGCACAATAAATTCAAGGACAGTTAAAAGGCAATGAGTATTTAAATTTCTTCCTAGAGAATAATTCACAGTCATATTAAATGTGGGATGGACGATTATTAATGGAATCAGAATAAATTCTAAGCTTCTTAGAGAAATATTCTGTGATCAAACTCCATTATGTTAGTAGAAACTTTAGCTTTCCAGAATTAGAGTTAGAAATGAAAGATTCTATATTAAACAATCTATTCCAAGCTAAATGATATTAACAGCTAAATATTTTTATTAAAAACAGTATTTTTAAATGTGCATTTAAATATATCTGATTTATATTTTCATTATTCTATCCTTTTTTAGGTGGTGTATAATGAAGTCACAGAGCTCCGAGGACATGTCTTAATGCTTATCGTGAAGAGCAAAACTGTATTTGTGGGAGCAATTAACATCCAACTTTATAGTGTCCCTCTCAATGAAGAAAAATGGTACCCACTAGGAAACTGTATAATTTGACCATTTCTATCAACCAATGCATTATTCAATAGCTACTTATATCTTTTTCCATTCCTGGGCCTCTCTATCACAAAAGCAGGACATTTTTGTTGTCAAAGATAGCTTAGTGTACCAAGGACACAACATAAAGATATAAAAACTAGTCTTTATAGTTATATATTCTCTACTTGTGTTTCATTCTTTTCTTAGAATCTTATCTTCTTAATAAAATGTCAATTTATTGTGTAAAATTCAATATATAAAATAATACCAAAACATTTCATTTTAATTTATCTTTTAATTCAAATATGTGTTCACATTTTTTAATTGTGTACCTACAGTTAAAGGCAACACTATTACTGTAGTTTCCAATACAGTAATAAATAAGACTCAGCAATTAATTCAAGACCTAGCTATATCTCTAACAAATTTTTAAGCTTGAATTAAATATATATACCTACATTCTGACTTATAATCCTATTTATTGAGGAAATTAATAAGCCCAGGTTTTCTATCAGAAAAACAAAGGATAAATGCCTGAAATTCTTAAACCCAATTTTTGGAAGAAACTTCTTTGCAGTTTCTTTTCAATGTCAATCAATTAATCATCACTAGATTTCACCCAGCTATAGGCATGATCACATTTTAAATTTCATTACCCCTTAACTCCAAAATGTCAAACTCTGAAACTCTCCCCTCTGATCAAATCCTCTTCTCTTTGCACATCAAGAATTTCCCTTAATTCTGAAGCTACTTCCATATCCATCATGACCTGAGTAGACAATACTTCATATTTCCACCTGAAAAATAAGTACAACTCACAGCATTATGCCACATTCTTTAAGAGAATCAAATAGGAGTTCTCTTTTAGTGTCTGCCATTTAAGTGACTAAAAAAAAAAAAGTTTAACTTTTGCTTTTTTTAATGCTTCACTGTGAATAAATTAAAAAGTAACTTAAGCTCTTATATATGATCATCTACATAACCATATAACATGTAAAGGTCTCTAAATCTATTCATTGAAAATATTTGAGTACCAGCCTACAAGAGGCAGAAAGGCAGAGCAGACAACTGCCCTGAAAGGAAAAGTGATTCAGACACAACAGCAGGGCATAAGCAACACACACAGGATACCCTACTGAAGTGCCAGGTTCTGGTGAACAGGAGACACTGCACTGCAAGGCACTTCAGGACCTCTTCACCATGAAGTCACTACTTTCAAAAGCAGAAGATATTGCTGACTTTCTTAAAGTAGAGAAACAGAGATGTGGGCAAAATGAGGAGACCGAGAAATTTATCCAAAATGAAAGGATAATACAAGCCATAGCCAGACCTAAGCAAAAACAGATAGAAGTAACGGCTGATAGAGAATTTAAAGCAATGATTAAAAGGATATTCACTGAACCTGAGAAAAGAATGGAAGAAATGAATAAGACTCTTAACACAGAGATAAGGAATAACATAGTAGAGATAAAGGGCTCAATAAAACGAAATGAGAAATGCACTTGATGGAATGAACAGCAGGAGGGAAGAAGCAAAGTAGCAAATTAGTGACCTGGAAGACAGAAATGAAAAGCAATGAAGTTGAACAAAAAAAAGAAAACAGAATTATGCAAATGAGAATAAGCTTAGGGATCACAGTGACTCCATCAAATGTAATAATATTCATATTATAGGAATCTCAGAAGAAGAGAGAGAAAAGGGAGCAGAAATTTTATTTGAATAAATAATAGCTTAAAATTTCCCAAACCTGGAGAAGGAAACAGATATCCAGATCATGGAGGCACAGAGAACGCCCATCAAAATCAACAAAAGCAGACCAAGACATAGTTGTAATTAAATTGGCAAAATAAAAAAATAATAATAAAATAAATAAATAAAAAGAAAAAATAAATAGGCAAATTATAGTAACCAACAAAAGATTTTTTTAAGCAAATCATTTTAAATTTTTATTTATTTATGACAGTCAGAGAGAGAGAGAGAGGCAGAGACACAGGCAGAGGGAGAAGCAGGCTCCATGCACCGGGAGCCCGACGTGGGATTCGATCCCGGGTCTCCAGGATCGCGCCCTGGGCCAAAGGCAGGCGCCAAACCGCTGCGCCACCCAGGGATCCCCAAGAAAAGATTTTGAAAGCAGGAGGACAAAAGAAGACAGTAACTTACAAAGGAAAATTCCTAAAGCTAGTAGGAGATTTTTCCACAGAAACTGCAAGCCAAAAGAGAGGGGCATGATATATTCAAAGTGCTGAATGGGAAAAATTTGCAGCCAAGAACATTCTACCGGCAAGGCCAATATTCAGAATAGAAGAAGAGATAAAGAATTTCCCTCAACAAACAAAACTAAAAGGGTTCATGAACACTAAACGACCTGGCAAGAAATATTAAAGGGGACTCTGAGTGAAAGGGAGAGGCCAAAAGGGGCAGTATAAAGGTAGGAAATACAAAAGCAGTAAAAATAAATATTTCTGTAAAAAATCAGTCAACTCACAAAATAAAAGGATATAAAATACATACCTAAAACAGGAAGGAAAGGAGTAAAGAATGGGTTCAAACTTAAACGCCATCAATTTAATATAGACTATATTATGCAAAAGAGATTATATACAAACATAATGGTAACCATAAATCAAAACTAATAAGTATGCAAAGGATAAAGAGAAAGAAATCCAAATATATCACTAAAGAAAATCAGCAAACCATGAAATAGGAAAGACAGGAAAGGATCAGAGAAAATCTCCAGAAACAACCAGAAAACAAATAATAAAATGACAATAAATATATATCTATCAATAATTACTTTGAATGTAAATGAACTAAATACTCCAATCAAAAGACATAGGTGAAAAAAAAAAGACATAGGTGACAGAATGGATTAAAAAAAAGAAAGATCCCCCTACATGTGGCTTACAAGAGATTCATTTTAGATCTAAAGATACTTGCATTTGAAATTGAGGGGATGGTGAAACATTTATCATGCAAATGGAGATCAAAAGAAAGGCAGAGTACCAATGCTTATATCAGACAAAATAGACTTTAAAACAAAGATTGTAACAAAAGACAAAGAAGTACTTTATAGAATGGTAGAGCAGACAATCCAACAAGAATATGTAATCATTGTAAATACTTATGCAACCAGTATAGAAGCACCCAAATATATAAAACAATTAATAACAAACACAAAGGAACTAATCAATAATAATATAATAATAGGAGAGGATTTTAACATCTCCCATCAATGGATAGATCATGTAAACAGAAAATCAGCAAGGAAACAATGGCTTTGAATGACACATGGGAACAGATAGATTTAACAGATATATACAGAACGTTCCGTTCTCAAACAGCAGACCACACATTCTTTGCAAGTTCACATGGAACTTTCTCCAGAAGAGATCACATATTAGCCCATAAAACAAGCTTCAACAAATTCAAGAATATTGATGTCATACTATGCATCTTTTCTGACCACAGAACTATGAAACTACAAGTCAGCCACAAGAAAAAAATCTTGAAAAACCACAAACACTTGGAGATTAAGTAAAACCCTATTAACAATCAATAGGTCAACCAGGAAATAAAAGAAGAAATAAAAAATACATGGAAGCAAATGCAAATGAAAACACAATGGTCCAAAACCTTTGGGATGCAGCACGAGCGGTTCTAAGAGAGAAGTTTATAGCAATACAGCAATACCTCAAAAGGCAAGAAAATCTCAAACAACCTATCCTTACAGGAGATACAAAAAGATTAACAAACAAAATCTAAAATCAGGAAAAGAAAATAATAAAAACTAGAACAGAAGTGATATAGAAACTGGAAAAACAATAGAACAGATCAATGAAACCAGGAGCTGTTCTTTGAAAAAAAAAATCAAGAAAATTTATAAGTCTCTCACCAAATTTATGAAGAAAGAAAGAAAAAGGCTCAAATAAATCACAAATGAGAAAGAAGAAATAGCAACCAACACCACAGAAATACAAATAATTATAAGATAATTTTATGAAAAAATGATACACCAACAAACTGGACAACCTAGAAGAAACGGATAAATTCCTAGGAACATATAAACTACCAAAACTGAAACAGGAAGAAATAGAAATTTTGAACAGATTGATAACCAGCAAAGTAATTGAATCAGGAATCAAAAAACTCCCAATAAACAAAAGTCCAGGACCAAATGGCTTCACAGGTGAATTCTACCAAATGTTTAAAGAAGAGTTAATACCTATTCTTCTCAAACTATTCCAAAAAATAGAAATGGAAGGAAAACTTTCAGATTCATTCTCTGAGGCCAGCATTACTCTGATTCCAAAACCAGATAAAGACAGTACTAAAAAAGAGAGCTGATTCCAAAGCCAGATAAAGACAGCACTAAAAAAAGAGAGCTACAGGACATTATCCTTCATGTACATAGATGCAAATATTCTCAACAAAATACTAGCAAACCAAATCCAACAATATATATATATATATATATATATATATATATATATATATATAATCATTCCCATGATCAAATGGGATTAGTCCTGGGTTGCAAGGGTGGTTCAGTATTTGCAAATCAATTAACATGATATATCACATCAATAAGAGAAAGTATAAGAATCATATGATCATTTCAAAAGACACAGATAAAGCATTTGACAATCCATTCATGATAAAACCCTTAACAAAGCAAGTTTATAGGGAACATACATCAACATAATAAAGGACCTAAATGAAAAACACACAACTACATCATCCTCAATGGGGAAAAAACTGAGAGCTTTTCCCCTAAGATCAGGAACAAGACTAGGATGTCCACCTTCACTTTTTCTCAACCAACATAGTACTGGAAGTCCTAGTACTCACAACAAAAAGAAATAAAATGCATCCAAATCAGTAAGGAAGAAGTAAAACTTTCACTATTTATAGGTGACATGATTCTCTATAGGAAACCTGAAAGACCACCCAAAAACTGCTAAAACTGATCAATGAATTCAGTAAAATAGGATACAAAATCAACATACAGAAATCTGTTGCATTTTTATACAGCAATAATGAAGCAGCAGAAAGAGAAATTTTTAAAAATCCCTTTTGCACCTAAAATAATAAGATATCTAGGAATAAACCTAACTAAGAAGTGAAAGACTCATACTCTAAAAATTATAAAACACGGATGAAAGAAATTGAAGACAACCCAAAGAAATGGGAAACATTCCATGTTTATGGATTGGAAGAGCAAATATTGTTCTATAATGTCTATACTACACCAAAGGCAATCTAAATATTCAGTGCAATCCCTATAAAAATACTACCAGCATTTCTCACAGAGCTAGAATAAAACAATCCAAACGTTTGTATGGAACCACGAAAGATCCTGAATAGCCAAAGCAATCTTGAAAAAGAAAAGAAAAGCTGAAGGTATCATAATTCCAGGCTTCAAGTTATATTTCAAAGCTGTAGTAATCTAAACAATATGGTAATGGCACAAAGGTAGACACACAAATCAATAGAACAGAATAGAAAACCCAGAAATCAACCCACAAAAATATGGTGAACAAATCTTCGATAAAGCAGGAAAGAATATCATATCCAATGAGAAAAGGAGACTCTCTTCAACAAATGATGCTGGGAAAACTGGACAGCTACATACCAAAGAATGAAACTGGACCACTTTCTTATACCATACACAAAAATAAATTCAAAAATTGATTAAAGACCTAATGTGAGACCTGAAACCATAGAAATCCTAGAAAAGAACTCAAGAAATAATCTCTTTGACCATAGCAACTTCTTACTTGATGTCTCCTGAAACAAGGTAAACAAAAGCAAAAATAAACTATTAGGACTACATCAAAATAAAAACTTTTGCATGATGAAGAAAATAATCAACAAAACTAAAAGGCAACCTACAGAATAGGAAAAGATATTTGCAATTGAAATATCTGATAAAGGGTTGGTATCCAAAATACGTAAAGAACTTATAAAACTCAATACCCTCAGAACAAATAATCCAATTATAAATTGGGCAAAAGATATGAACAGACATTTCTCTGAAGGAGATGAACAGATGGCCGACAGACACATGAAAAGATTTTCACCTTCATTCATCATCAGGGAAATACAAATCACAACTCTAATGAGATATCACCTCCCACTTATGAGAATGGCTAAAACCAACACAACACACACACACATACACACAAGCAGGTGTTAGTGAGGAATTGCAATCCCACTATTTGTGGGAATGTGAACTCATAAGCCACTATAGAAACCAGTAGGGCGTTTCCTCAAAAAGTTAAAAATAGAACTACCGTGTGATCCAGCAATTGCACTATTGGGTATTTACCCAAGATTTAAAACATTAATCCAAAGGGATACATACACCTCTATGTTTATTGCAGCATTATTTATATTAATAGCCAAGACTTGGAAACAGATTGATGAATGGATAAAGAAGATGCGGTATACATACATACATATATATGAATTCACATATATTTAAATATTTTACAATATTATATATAATTACAATATTATATATTTTACAGCATGTATATAATAAATATAATATATATTTTATTGAGTCCATAACTCTTGCTATTTATGATGACATGGATGGAGCTAGAGAGTAAAATGCTAAGCAAAATAAGTCAGGCAGAGAGAAAGACAAATATGTCTTCACTTATATGTAGAACTTAGGAAAAAAACAAGCAAAGGGAAAAAAGAGAGATAAATAAAGAAACAGACAATTAATTGTAGAAAACAAATTATTAATATAGAGGATAAATTGATGGTTACCAGAGAGGAGCGGGGTGAGAGAGTGGCTAAAATAGGTGATGGAGATTAAGGAGTGCCTCTGTGA